ACGTTGTACATTTGCTGTTATGTTAAACTTATATTAAAGTTTTTCTTCATTACCCATTCAAGCCGTCTCCAGCCATTATTAGTCTCAAAGTGGGTTCCTCGTCATCGAATTTAAATACTCTTATATTCTTATACTTATTTTCGAGTTAAAATCTACTTTGCACCATCTATAATGATCGAGTGTTCTTCCTCAGTAACCAACAAACAATAAAGACAGAACATATGTAAAACAACTGTATCTCATTAGATTTAGTTAGTTAATCTATAATTATATTGATATCTTCACATCTACAGTTAAGTCTACTATATTAGTTAGAGATGGGTAATTAACCCAATCAACTGATATAATTACTTACTAGGAGCATCAATTAGTATCACTGATTAATCCACATTACGATTAAATCAATTAACGTCCTAAAAATAATCAATAATTCTAAACTATTGTTTCCAATTATTACTGTTTCAGATTATTCTAACAATCCAGTAATTGGAAATATTGACATTATGATTTTCATTATTATTTTCAATTAACTCAAGTTTATTCAGCTTAATTGATTAATATTTGAGTAAGGAAGCACATTATGTTAATATAATAATAGGTATGCAAACAATGATTTGTAAGCCTAAGGAAAAAGTTTTACTGATGGTGGAACATACTACATGTTTCAACAGAACACTAGTCTGTCTACTTCAGGTATGATCAGTACTAAGCAATACAAAGTATATATATATTATTACAAAGATAAAAGACACAAGGATTAAATGTGATGGAATACATAAAGGCCAAGTGTATGAATAGTGAATAGACCTTGCCAATTACAGCTGATGATGCTAAACTGTGATAATAGCCTCAAGATATTTTATTCTCCATGAAAATAGTTTTAAAGCAAAGTATGGGTCTCATGTTGTTTGGTGTTAGTACAACCCTGAGCAGCTTTATATATGTATATATATATATATCTTTTATAGTATATCTATTTTCCTTTATGGCTAATTAATATTATCATCAACGTAAAACATCTAATTTTACCTTTGGAGTTAGCAACAACTTCTAGAGTCTGAACAAGTTTTTTTGACTGGTCAACACGAGTTTTGTCACTTTCTTCATCACTACTACCAACAAGAATTATGTCTTTATCTGATGCTTTTCTTTTACCAGCCGTAAGTTCCTTCTTTATTGTTACGGAATTACTAACAGCTGCTGGTAGGGTTTCTGAACTTTGCTGTGGTTGAACAGAAGCTGCTGCTGGTGTAGAAATACAGGTTAACTGTATTTCAGGGTTTTCTTCTAGTCTTTTCATAAGAAGAAGTCTTTCCTGAAGAGCTCGAAGTTGGGTTTCCTGAAGAAATTTTTTTCTTTCTTGTTCTTCTTTTTGGGCTTGTATAGTTTTAGCATCCAATTCATTTTCTGACATAATATTCCTGTTAATATAACTCAAAAGCCTTAAAATACATTCTACAAACAAAAACAAGTGGCTTGTCTTGCCACCTCAAGTAAAAATTTAACACATAAATAAACTATTAGCTCTTCAATTATACTTATTAACCTAAGGATGATTTTTTTTCATATAAATTTATATGTTTAAGAATTCTATATGCTCAGGATTTCTTTGTACAGCATTTAACAAAGTTTATGTTTCTACAAAATATATTTTCTTTTAATTATTACTGCAACACTGACACGAGTTTTAACGGCTTCACAAGTAAATGTCAGTAAATTTGATAAAATGTTTTAGAAACATACTGTATTCCAATACATACAATAGATTTCTAGTTGGCCCTCTGCATGTAACTACTGGAAAACTGGTCATCTCGGTCAAATTTTCTCAATCTTTTGTACCTCAAGACCTTAGTTATTATAATAAAGGCCCAAATGTGCAGCTGATGGCTCACTAGTTTATAGAGCAAAGTTATCCCAGCCCATAACTACGCATCTCTTAGTCCAACAGTTTTGATGGAAACAGAACATTAGATGAGTAAATATAGTTTGTGTGATGTCACACAATGCCTTTTAGAATATACAAGATAATGTATCTCCAACTTAACCAAAGTTTTAGATGATGTGCATGATATGGACTGGTCTTTCCTTATAAACATAAAGCAATTGGCTAGCATTTTAAAACAAATAATCTGTGACAACCAATGATTTACCTGCCTAATTTTAAATTATTTCACATGCCTTTATTAACATTATACAAAAGCACCAAAAAAAAAAAGTACATAAATCTAAGTTATTCCTAAATATTGCAGTAAGATACATAATTATATATTTTCCTAACTAGCCTACTGACCACTTAAAAATTTCTTCACAACTTCTTCCCAAAATGTAGCATTTTACACATAGATTTAACCCTCATTTTGCAACAGTGTTGATTATTAGGGTTTTTTTCATGTATATGTAGGTATTACTGATCTTTACTTGTAACACTGTAATATTACAATCAAGAAAAAAAAAACATTTACCAATATGTCATGACCATACTATAACTGTGTGCTTTACCAGAGGAAATGCTGTCAGCCTTATAAAGCATATTTTCTAGAAATAATTTTTTTAAAGTACACAAGTTTGTAGTATCTCACATATATTTTTCTTTATGACCATTTTAAACCAAATTTTCACTCAACTCTTAAGTTACTATTAAATAACTATTTTACACTTGATAAAAGGATTATTTAAAACAATGACAGTTACTTGTGATAAACATTTAGCACACTCAAATTTAAAAGTATTTGTACACAAACATTTAAGCCCAAACCCTGTTCAATACAATACCGTGATTTTTTTTTTGCCGACTTAAATAAACAAAATTACATACATCTGATTGAAAAATTGTAGTTTTTACATATTGTTACCATCTCTGAAATAAGAATGTTAAACTTAATCACAAAACAATCACAGTGAAATAGAAGTTATTCTAAAATAAAATTTTAATACACAACAAATAATTTAGATACACTTACACAAATGTGTCGATATAAACATTACCTGATTTCTCTCCTTTGGAAGAGGTTTTTCTTTTTCTTAGTTGGTTTCTTCTTTTTATCCTCTTCTTCACTATAATCAGATTCACTGTCAAAACTATCACTGTTTTCATTACTTTTATCTTCAGAAAGCTGATCATTTTCAGTGCCTGATATCAGGACGTCACTATCTGAACATTTATCTGTTAACTTTTCATCATTTGTATTTTCTTCTTTTTCACTAGTATAACCATTTTCATTATTTTTCTCTTCAGAAAGCTGATCATTGTCAGTGCCTGATATCAGGACGTCACTATCTGAACATTTATCTGTTAACTTTTCATCAATGGTACTTTTTTCATTCTTTTCATTACTATAATCATTTCCACGTAAGGAAGATGTGTTTTTCTCCATACTAGTTTCATTTGATGTTGACAGTTTTCTTTTTTTTATTGGAGTTTCTGAAATATCACCTTTTTTTGACGTATTGGCTTTTCTAGTTTTATCGGATAGTTGTTCTACACCCACAACCTCTTTTTTCTCCAAGCACATTTCCCTGTCTCCCAACCCTTTTGTTTTTTCACTGCATGGTACTGGTACATCTGCTGAAATAGGTGAAATAGACAGTGAATGGGGTCCTAACATTAGCTTTCTTTCCACAGAAGGTATCAGAGACTGGCCAGTTTGATGATTTTCAGCTGCTTCTAATATTTCTAAATAAAAGTTAAAAGAGTGTTATGTAAGCTTAATCATATTTGACTTCCTTGCTTGTGTTCCTTAAGAAGTAACTGTAAACTTATTTTTACTTTTTGTGTTTCAAAGTAATAACAGAAAGGAGTTTAGAAGAAAATTGCAATGATGAGTATAGAATAGAAATGTACTGTCATGTGCACAATTTATGAATGAATTTCAGTTTTGTTCCACGCATACTTTAACAGTGTACATAATTGAGAGCTATATATTCAAAGAGTATCATAAGCTGGGTATCTATTATACCAATTTACTTTCCTTTTTAAAGTACTTAACACGTGGGCAACAAGAGACAATTAGGTCTTTCAAGGCTGTCCTTTCACACCCACCCTAGAGAAAAGTAAAAATTTATCCCCACCCTTTACTTTTCAGCAAATTCTTTACAATCATATTTAAAGAAAAAAAAAATATATATATATATATAGCATTTATTCGTAAACAGACACAGTTTAAAAAACAACTAAAATTTGTAGAGTAATTATACAGTCACACAACTTGCATTTTTCACTTAGACGTATAAAAAAATAAGTCTTTCTCAGGAGAATTCTAACTTTTAAACAATACTATGGTTGAGGAAAACGAAGCTCTTAAAGTCTAGACATGTTGTGCATGGAAACAGTAAACTGTACCCTGTATGGTGAATCAGCAGTCAATGAGTTGATTACCATGAAACTTGAAGTTTTGCAGAAATCAACTTAGCTGGAGTCTACAGCAGTCCAGACAAGATCTGAACCAATAATTGATTATTTCTAAGCTAGTACAATAATGTGAACATCAATTAAATGTTGTCATATTAGATTTTTGCACTCTGCCTCTGGCAGTTGAATGTGAATGTGCCGTATATGGTGTAGAGCAGCCACAGTCAATGGGTTAATAGACCAAAGAAATAACAGCAGCATTTAATATTTCTTTTTAATACTACATAGCAGTGTACAGATGCATGGCTGTTTTTATATTATTGCTTGTGAAAAATAAATTGGAGAGGGTAGGGGTCCATTACTCCTGAACTCATTCCTTAAATATACACCTGCATATACAACATTAGAGAATACAGTCACACAATTATAATTTAAAAACACAACACAATGTGAAAAAACAATAAATTTACACTTCATCACTTAACTCTCTCACTAAAGGCTCAGTCTCATGGACGGACCTCGTAACCAGTTTGTACTTGTTATAGTTTTCATATTACAACTTTTAATACAGTATGCGTATCTTCACGAAATTTTACAGATTATTAGTAAACATTACAAGGCATTCGTACATGAAATTAAAGATATTTTAGGTAACTATTTGCTCCTGCATTTTTTCTTTTCGAGTGTTGACTATACAACATGCAAAGTAATTTTGATTTTAAGATTAAAAACACTTTTATTCATCAAAAAATTACCAAATTTCACACGTGAAATCTTTATAACCTCCTAATACAATCCAGATAATTATCAAACGTTTTTTAAAGAAAAAACTTTATATTTTATGTTATTTTCACTATGGTATCTCTGTATGAGTTTGGTTGTTTGACCAATCTCTTATCCACCACAAAAAATTAGGAAAAAAAAATATAAATTACTTTTTCATTCTAGAATGGCTACAAATTATAAAATGAAACCACAAATGTTTAGTCTAAATAGCTTAAATCTCATAACATTATACATCTGTATATATATGTTTATTATTTTTATTTTATTGGCCTTTCAGCCATGTCTGACTAACAACACAGAAGTTACAATGATGAGGCACATGTACACTCATGTTACAGTATTCAACAGTATAAGACTGACCTTTAAAAAGTGACCTGTCTTGACTTTCTTCTATGGACCAGCATTTTGTAAAATACAGTCACATTTTGGTTATAATACATTACATGTGTGTGTATATATAT